CCCCCCCCCCCTATTGAGGACATCCATTTTTTGGTCCCCCTCCCCTGGAGTTTCCACATTTTAAGCAAATTTTGAGCCTCCTCTGTGGAATTTCCGCAGATTTTTATTGAATTTTAGCCATGCCCATGGAATTTCCGCAAATTTTTTATGAACTTTTAACCCATCCCATGGAAATTCCTTGACAGTTTTTTATCTAGCCAGTGGAAATTCCATATTGATTCTTTGATTAGTAGCTATCCCTTGGAAAATTCCTTGCTGATTTTTATCCTATCCTTTGGAATTTCTTTTCCATTGTTGACCGTCCCATGGAAATTCCATACATTTTACTCATTTTTCTTACCTACCCTTTGGAATTTCTGCAGATTTGCTTTAAAATTTGGACCCTCCCATGGAAATTCCTTTATTTTTGGTTCACTTTTGCAGGGGGCCATTGGAAATTCCACATGTCCTCAATAGGGGGATTAATAATGCGATCAGCCAATAACTAAGTCTGTGACTAAGTTATACAAACTAACAAACTACACATTTACTCATGATTAACCTGACATGTAATTAATTTATGTTAATTTATGCATATTTAACATTTAGAATTCCTGTGCTCTTGGAAATTTTCGCTTGATCTCATCACTCAACTTCAGAAGCGGTTCTTGGAGTAAAATACTTCCCTGGAATGCAATCTTGGCACCTGAGCTCATCTCAAAACATAATTTCATTGGATGTTCATTGTCTTCCCAAGTCTCGATCTTTACATTTTCATCTAAACATAATTCTCTTGCATAATCAAGAATAATCTGATCCACTGATGCAAATGCAATGTCCTGCTTGAGAGATTTATAAGCACCACTCCTTGCTGCACTGACAGCTGCATCCAGCATGAATTCAAGGTAATTTGCCTGATTTACATGGAAATAAATATCCAGGTCACTAGGCCTGACTATAATGTTTGTTTCATAGGTATCACCTGACTTGCTTTTAAATGCTGGAGGAATGAAATATCTTTCCTCATGAAAAGCATTCGATTTTAAATAATCCAAAGCATCTTTTGGAATGGGGTGAGGTTTCATTTTCACATCACATACTACAATACTACGTATATTCCTGCAAAGTATTATGGTACTTGTCTCATCATATATATCAAATTGCATATTGAATGACTTGGTTCCAACATCGTGAAGTTGACAATGAATCTGCAAATTGTCATTAGTTTTCCAGTGTTGGTAAAATTCAGGGAAAACATTTATTTCCTGAGTCTTTGCAATAGAGAGGAGATTATTTTTTGCTATATCATCAAACATCTGCCCAACTGCCTGTTCTCGTGCATAAAAAGAACCAACTTCATTTAGCTGTGGAACCATGTTTAATGGGAGGCGGCCTGCACGATCTGGTAAAAAGGGAGTTGCCATTGGCACAACCACCACATGCTTTTCTTCACCTGAGCTGCTGGATTTCTAAAATAATCATTGTTGAATAAGAGTTTTATTCACATATTGGCTACAGATAAAAATTGGTGGCCAGTGGCCCCTCTTTCATCTGAAAATTGCAGGTGAATAACTGATGCAGTCACATATGGCTTCCTTGAGTTATTGGAAAAATTTTCTGTGTTAACTTTTTGCCTGACTTCATTTTGACTGGGTGGACAGCACCCCCCATGCCTGTGGCAGGAAGCTTTCAGGAATCAAACATTTGCTTGATAGTTAGCGGCAGCCCATTTGATTTTTAATGGGGGAGCAGGGTAAATTAAAAAAAAATAGTGGGCAAGCTTGAACAGTTGAACTTAAAAAATATATAAAATATTGCACAAGAACAAACCAACAGAAAAAAATATCGAACAAATTATGCAATTTTTATATATATGTACCCAAGAAATAGAAAAAATCGTGCAAGAACCTTGAATAACAAAAAAGATTGAGTAGGATTATCAGTGTAAAATTTGTATAATTTTATTAATATATCAATACCTGTGATAAAATATTCCTTGAGCCTGTTGAGAAACGTCTAACGTTTCGTAAAGACTGTTGAATCAACTTGCTTGTAGACAACATATTTTTAAACTTTTAATAGTGTATAAAGAACTAGAGTGACAAGTATGAACGAAGTCAATAATTCTGAACAATTGCCAAAAATAATTACATCATTTCGAAGTTTATTACAACGTTTTTTACAAGTAGACTTTGATCTTTGGAAGTGGAAATTTGTCTTGGGGCTATTACCGTATATAGCAAAATGATATAATATATTTATCAAATCAGCATGAGAAAAAGTACTTGAAAACATTGATACGTTTGTATTGGAGACGAAACTCTTTTATTCTTGTTGCCTTTTATTAATATGTGGTATAAACGAATAAAGATATCGGTTTCATATTCCGAGTGTAATCTATCGTGAGCTCGATCGTGAGGGTCGTTTCTCCTGTGGTTTTTACCGGATTCTAATTAAATTCAAAATGGCGGAACTTCCACCACAAAGTAAAGTAAAAATTCGCGAAATTGTGCAACTTGAAATTGAAGTTACCGCATTAATTCAAGAAACTACGAATATTAGTGAATCCCAGGATGAACTGAATCAAGTAAATACAAAAGTTAAGAAGTTAATTCAAAGTTTGAGACGAAAACTGGAGGTTTGTGTTAAACATAAATTTTTAGATTTTTGTGTTGTGCTCTGAATGTTTCAATTTTATGTTGTTTCAATTTTATGGTAGTGTACTCATTTAGGAATTGAAACAAATCGGAGAAGAACAAGATAAAGAAAGCAGTCATGTTAAAATCACGGAGGAAGTTGACAAACATTATTATAATTTATCAAGGTACTTTAGTTAATTTGAATAAATTACGTTCATTTCTGTAATAATATTAACTCCAGATAAAAGTCCTATGATTGGATCAAGCCAACATGTGATCTGTTGTAGGTATAAAACACATGTGTGTTTATTCTGTTGCTTTGTGTGACCTTGGGGCACATGTCACTGCAGCCAGTCCCCCCTGACTGGAAAGTTTGGAAATTGCACAACTGAGTAAATATTAATATATAGAAAGCACCAAAATTGCATGCCTGATATCTTGGTTGCGCGATACAAACTTTCCACACTGGTCAGTCCCTGTAATTTGTTTTCTCACACTGGGTTGCCATTTGTTCTGCCACTGCAAGCAGGGCGGTGCCTTTATTATTTATCTTCAATAACATATCTGTTTATAAAAAACATGATTAACAAATCCCGGATAACGGTTCAGTTCATAATCTAAACAAAAACTATATATAACTCAAAAAACATTAGTATCCACCAATCTGGGAGGGTGGGTGGGTAACTGCATACAATGTGCAAAAAACTCACATGACTTTATACAACTCATGTGACCTAACACAAGGCATCCCAATATGAGAAAACTGGTTTTCGCTTATTTCGTAAACTCGGACAGTGAGAAACTCAAAGTCTTAATTTGTGACTGAGCCTTCAGTGTGTTGTACCTGAGTTTGCAGGATCATGCCCCAGATAATATAGGGTGTGGGTTACGTGAATGGTCTGCTGTTACGGTAGAGGCAAGCATCTCGATTACAGTTACTGTAGGTTAACATTTTGTGAATTATTTCTGCCACAACTCTAAAACAATTTTGCTAAAGAGAATGCTAAATACAGAAATCTAATATCCAATTTCAGCATGCAAGGAAATTTTCGTAAAGCAATCACGAAAGCCCAAATTTCTATTGAGAAATACGAAAAGAGTCAGTTAATGTCAGCTGAACCAAAAAATGAACTACGACACAGGTAACCAAGTCATAATATACTTATATAACTGCATCTTACAGGTCTTGCCAAATGAATTTGGTTTTATGGTTGTAGTAAGTCTAGCAAGCTGCAATGAATGCTTCTTTGTAATCTTGATCCTTCTGCCATTTGACAATTTTATTTTGTGAGGGTCAAGTATTGACTGCATGTTCACAGTTAATTTAATTTTTAGACAGCAAAGCAAAGAGGGCTTGGCAAAAAGTGCCAGCAGCATAACAGAAAATTTAATGAGTATAGCAAAAATGATGGAAAGTCAAGTTCAACAAAGCAGAAATAATACTGAAGTTTTAAGTAAGTATCTTTTGCCATTAGGAGTAATCCTTATGTGTGAGAAAAATCAACACTGCTTAGCATAAAAATGAGTTGATAACCATAGGCATATGAGTCAGTGTTTAGTCGGGCAGATTCTATTTAAAATCAATTAAAGGTAATTAAAAGTCCCAATTCGAAGTAACAAGAGAAGCTGATGAGGTTTTGCAAGATTAAATATTTCCACTAATTTAATTTTTAACTAGATCTTGTTTGCTGCCACAAAGGTACACCCCCCCCCCCTGCCCACTTTTCTCATTGTAAGAGAAGTGGTGGTATCCTCCCTGTAGTGCGGCCACTGAGAATCAATGTAGTTTTTATTTCATTTCTTCAGTGACATCATCCAAGGGTATCACAGACACAAATGAAGAACTACAGGGACTTTCAGGGTTTGTTCACACCAGTAAACAATTATTGAATAAATATAATCGACGTGAAACGACAGACAAATTGTTAATATTTTTTGGTTTAGTATTATTTTTCTCTACTGTATTATACATAATAAAGAAAAGAATTTTCCCTTCCTAAAAATTCTAAAAACAATTATACAAGGGCGATGGAATCAAATAATCTTTTGTTTAGATACCCTCCATGTGCACTGAACGGACCTATTCCCTAATGAACAAAATTTTGATCATCATCATCATCAATCAATTTTATTTAAAATCAAAACACGCTAGCCTCGCACAACTAAAAGCTGATTTACAGGGAGGGAGTATTTACAGAATATTATATGAACCCCCCAACCTCCCCCCAACAAACAAACTGAGAAAAATAAAGTAAAGTAAAGTAAATAAAGAGAGTTAACTATAATTAAGTCACATGGTTCTAAAAGGACAGTTCCGCAATACTACGCTTAAATTGACTGAGCGAAGTCGCTCTTTTTGCATCTAATGAAAGATTATTCTTCAAGAAATTAGTTTTTGGTTTTGGAAGTGCTAGATCCGTTTCCTGATTTCGTGAATTATGTCTAGACAAGTCTAGACAGAAATTTCATCGCAGCTTGAAAGAGCATCACAAAATT